GGGCAGCGATGGAGCGCGGGTCATACTTCCAAGAGTACATGCGGTCCAAAGCGCTAGCCAACCCAAGTGCTGGCAAGCAGGCCGTCGCTGAGACCAAGAAGCTGCTCACAGATCGCGGAGCGTACATCTCGTTCCTTGAAGTCCAGCTCGAGCGCGTCTCGGCGGCGTGCTTGCACACGCAAGGGCTCGAAACACAACTGCACACGATGCATATTGCGCTGGAGGCCGCCGAGGCCAAGATTGGCACGGTGACGAAGCTCCTCAAGCTGCACCAACAGCACTCGGGCGAGATGGTCCAGAGCGCGTCGCAGGACATCAGCACGCTCCAGGACACGATCGAAGGGCTGCGCGAGACCGCGACGATCCATGGTACGCAGCTACGCCGACTCGATGCCCGCCAAAATGAGCTCGACGAAGTCTTGCAGTCCATCGATGCTCGCGGTCGCTCGGATTGCGACAGTCTTCGCATGCACCTCGACACGTCCCGAGAGACAATGGAGCTCCAAGTGCACCGGTATCATACGCTGATGGATGCTCAGCACAACCGATGGTCGTCGCTCCAAGCGTCGCAGCAAGAACTCGCTCGAGAGCTGAGCCTTCTCGAGACGCGGCTTGTCGAGCACACGGACAAGGTTCGTGCCCCTGCACCATCTAAATCTTACGTCTCAATCAACAAACAGCACGTGGCGATGGTGCGTGACGAGGCGACGGACCAGGGCGCGGCCATGGAAGCGCGCTTCGTGGAAGTCGATGAGAAGCTCAAGCGCAACCGGCAGTCAATCGAGCAATACTGCGCCGTGGAGCTGGCCCGCCACGCCTGCGCCGTCGAGACACGCTTCGAGAGTGTTGAGCAAAAAGAGGTCGTGCTCACGGAACAATTGGCGCGGCATCAAAATCGAGTGCAGCAGCTTCTGCAGCGGCACCAAGAAGACGCGCGGCTTCTGAACACGACACTCCTCTCCCTACAGAACGACATTGAGCGCGTCGAAGCTCGGCATGACGCAATGCCTGGAAAAGCAGCAGCCAACGCAGCAACGACTCCAAGTGATGCACGGCTACTGACACTCGAGAAGGACTATGCGATTTGCAGAGAAGGTCTCGCTTACTTGCGCTCCGTCATGGAACATTTCGAATCCACGCAGCTCCAGCTCGTCGAGGGGTGGAATTCCAAGATGGCGTTGTTGACGTCCCAAGTGCAATTCTATATCCGCCATGCCAGCTCATGGGTCTTACTGGATGCTGTAGGTCGAAGGCCATGCGCGCAGCGACACTGTGCAAATCGTACTGTTCTGTCCCAGGCTGGCTTTAATTTTATTGTGATAAATAGAGCGCTTCGGAAGTGGGCGAGCGACTAGCCGCGCTGGAAGCGACATGGGACCCCGTTGTGCTCCAGAGTTTTGTCAAGGGCATCGGGCGGGTCCAAAAGTAAGATGCGATTGTTTCTATGGGCAGCCACGAAATCGAGATAGGGTCGAACGCAAGATGCAGCGACTCGTAGAGAACGTCCAGACACTGTACACACTTGTGGAAATGGTAGCTATGCGTTGGGTCCACTCCCACGACTGTACTATCCGTGTTCTAGACGCTACCGAAACGAGCCACCTATGCGTCAGAAATTGAGGACAAACCCGAGCAGCGAGAGTCTCCAAATGAGGTACAGAACACTCTAAAAGCCAACGTTTCTGACGGTTGTTTGGATGCGCTAGGTGCACGAAAGCTCGCTGCCAAAGAAGAAACCTAGTCCGTCGAAAAAGAGTGCACTCCCCGAGCCAACAGCGTTGTCGTCGCCCACTCGCACCGTAGAAAAGCCTAGAAAGGCCAGAGTAGCCTCGGTAGTCCGGCACTAATAGCTCACCAAATAGACTAGCAATAGTGTTGCCATGAGGCGCACTAGTAGTCGATACATTGCATCTCAAATCAAATCCTGTGCGGGTGCACTAAATCCGGTTAAAAACAAAATATCCGTATGATGATCAAAAGCCAGGTGCTGGAAGTTGCTTCTTCAAGCGATGAAGTTTCTTCCACGAGACGCACGAACGACCATTTCCATGGCCCACACTCGTTCTAGCATCCTTTTACATTCGATAACTACCGAGATCCCGAAAGTACATGTCGTCGAAGCGCACCAAACGAGGTGTCTGTCCATTTGCTGACACGACGGTGTCTCCTGCCGTGGCGGGAGTGTGTCCCTACCACGCCCACGCAGCGCTCCCACCGCCCACCATCAAAAAAGAAGTACGCTTCGAATCCAAAAGCGGACGCTACGTCACATCCGAGAAGACGACGCGGCTGCTTGCCGACATTGGCGGCGCCGACACGGTGCGCATCTTTTGCACGCGCTTTTACGCGCGCTTCCTTGCCGACACGCACTTGCGGCCGTTTTCGTTCTTGGACGACGGTGCCGTCATGCACGCGGACCGCCTCGCAACCTTCCTCGTGCAAGAAATGGGCGGCGACGTGCCCGTGCCGTCCCCGTCGTTTGGCGCCGCACACTACAAGGCGCGCTACTCGTCCAAGCGGCACCCGTCTGTGCGCGGTCGGCCATTTAGCCTCGTGGATGCTCGCATTTGGATGCGCTTGCACTTTTGGGCCGTGCGCGAGTGCGGTTTGCAGCGCCACCGGGCATTCTGGAAGTGGTACGTGGCGTTCATTGGGCACCACATTCGCCTCTATGAAAAGACGTCGGCGGCGTTTGCCAAGGACGACGCCGAGTGGTCCTCGGACACGAGCGCTATCGATGCATACCTCGCCAACGGCAACGTCATGACGGACCTCGTCGTGTAGCCAAAGAAACGACGACGGTAGTGCAGTAGCCCAATAAAATTGAAAGAAAGTTGATACTTTGTGGTACGCTCCACACGTCACTGCTTGGTATGGCGCCGTCACCGTCACCATCCCCCAATAGCGCAAGCCTGAAATGATTGCACTACGTACCGCATCTTGTGATCTTGGATTCGAATCTTGGATTTGATAGCCATCGCTCCCAGGGTCGACCATGGAGCAACGGTCGAGAATTCAGTCGCGTTGAGATAAAGACGCCAACTCTTCCGACCGACATTGCCGTGGTGTGCTACGATGCGTCGTTCCGAGGACGATGCGTTGTCCTTCATGCATGAAAGCTGTCGGTGACGTCAGGAGCTCCGGCAGCCTCGCGCACTGTGATGTCACCGCAATGCAGGTCATGACGTCAATTTTGAAGCCGAGAACCATCATTCCTCGTTCGCATGGAAGGGATCTCCGCGGAACTCTGGTCACGGCACCGGTTTTCGCACCCTGTCTTTGCGCTCTACCACACGTGTCGCGCCTCTTTCTGTCCACTCGGCTGTTTTGTAGTTCCGTCGTGATGACATCACTGCACTGTCCCCGCCGACCACGTCTTGTCTCGCGCCCAGATGCAATGTCGAGCCACGCTGTGTCAAGAGCCAACTTCGAAAAATAGCACCTATTTCCCGTATATCTAGCACCTGTGAAGAGATGCATTCCGCACCTGATCCTCGGCCGCTTGGTGCGCTTTCGAGTGGTGGTGTTTGCACCTCAGATCCATTCTCAAAGCTAAATCCACGCAACCTTGGCGCCGATCGTGGCGATGCCAGCGGTGACAGTTTCCATGCATCGCCTTGCACATCATTCCAAGTACATCAAATATTTTGTGCATGCTTGTGCACGAGCGGTGTGGCTTGTCCGCCGTGTTGACGGAAATGTGTACGTATACATCGGCGTCTAAAGTTGCGTGCACCAAGCCCAATCAAAATAGACAGGCGGCCATTTTAGGGATGGTCGCAGCAGCAACGGGCATTTGCGAAGACGCGGCCTCATGGTGACAGCAACGCCAACCCACGCGGCCAACGAGAAGCGCAAGCGCCTAGACGCCTACCACACGCTTGAGGACGAGGGCTTCTCGTACCTCGGCGACAACTCGTACATCCACCACGGCTACCGGCTGCACTACTCGCTCAAGGAGAGCTTCTTCTCGCTCTTTGAGCTCCACAACGAGACGATGAACGTCTGGACGCACCTCATCGGGTCGATCGTCTTTTGGAGCCTCCTCATATCCGTGTGCCTCCAGGTTGAGGTCGACCGCGCGCCAGTGCTGCACCCGCATGCAGCTACGGTCTCGAGTTTGCCTTTTCTGCACGGTGGGCAGCACACGCAGAGACTCTTCACAGCGCAGACGGCACCGTCCAGCAGCGAACGTCTCGTTATGGAGAGTCTGAGCTTGAACGGGTCGCCGCGCGAGTGCATCGAAGCTGCGAGCGGGCTCCTATTTGCCGAGAGCACGTTTACGACGCTGTCGACGCTAACCCACGACGACGCCAACCACATTGCGCAGCTGCAGCGGGACATGCGCCTTCTCGAGCACGAGCTTCTCGAGCTCATGGAGCATGCGTGGGTCAACCGCCACCTCTCGGTGAACTTGCTCGCGCTCCAGCATAGCCTCTCGGACCGGATCCACAAGCTCCAATCGCACTTGTCGCCAAGCGTGCACCGGTCGCTGCTCCAAGGCTTGAATCACTTGGACGAAGCCCTCGGTCACCTCGAGAACGAGCTCGGACATCAAGTGCCAACGTGGCCCATGGCGGTCTTTATCGCGAGTGCGATCGTGTGCCTCTCGTGCTCGGCAACGTTCCACTTGCTCTACGTCGTGAACCGGCAAATTTACTTTTTCCTCAGCCGCATGGACTACGCCGGCATCGCGGTCCTCATTGCCGGGTCGTTCTACCCGCTCATTTACTACTCGTTCTACTGCCACCCGCTGCTTCGGACCTTTTACCTCACGACCATCTCGGTGCTCGCGGGCGCCACCTTTGCCATGTCGCTCATCCCCAAGTTCAGCACGCTCGAGTACCTCTACATCCGGACGTGTATCTTTATCGGGCTCGGACTCTTTGGCGTCATCCCGGTCACGCACCTCTGCCTCATGTTTGGCGTCTACGACGAGCACGTGACGGTCGTCCTCGGGCCGCTCCTGCTCATGGCCTTTCTCTACATTTTTGGCGCCTTCATTTACTCGATTCGGTTCCCCGAGCGCTTGTACCCCGGTGGCTTTGACGTCTGGGGCGGGTCGCACCAAGTGTGGCATTGCTTTGTCGTCGCCGCGGCCCTCGTGCACTACTTTAACGTCACCCAGCAATACGAGTGGCGCTGGAACAACACCTGCCCCGCGCCGTAGTACAACCTACGGACGCGTATGGATATTTCAACATACCTTTTGCACATTGTATTGTTCCTAGTGTCGACAACAGTGGCGCTGTCTTCTTCTCAAGCTACATGAGGACGTCACGATGACGCGCCCGCTTGCAGCACGAGCTGCGGTGACACTTCGAAAGAGTACAACAACACATAGGACGAATTTTAGTTGGCTGCAGGCGCGATGCGTGCGTAGATGCTATCCAGCGGCAGCGCCTTGCGCTGGGTACTCTTGGCTTGCCACAGCACCGTCTTGAGCTTCTGGTAGGCTTTGTGAAGGATGTAGAGCGAGAGGATCGACACGAGGAACTTGACGACGCGGACGCGGCGAAGGCGGCTCTTGATCTCTTCGTCCGTCTCGGGCGGCTCGCCTGCATTCGCATGCGTCATGACTTCACGTGGAGATGAGAATGTACCGTAGCGGGGGTGGCCCGGCGGGAACGGCGGTCGCGGCGCCAGCATCGCGACCGCGCTAGTGCACATGAAGGCCATGCGCTCCATGAAATGCACGAAATTGCCGAAACAAAAGTTGAGTGCTTCGGCGTTCATGCCGAGGAGCTAGCGCAGCGTCAAGCACAGTACAGTACGAAGACAAGGAAGGGTGTACCTGTGTGATTTGCCCGATCGCGCCGACCGTTTGGTTGAAGCTCGCGAGCCAGCCGAGGCTGCCGTTAGGGTCCATCATCGGGTTGCCACCGTACATACCGCCGCCGCCGCCGTACATGCTGCTGCCGTACATACCCCCGCCGTAGCCTCCATAGGAGGAGCCGTACCCGCCGCCGTACGATCCCATACCGCCGTACGAGCTCATGCTGCCGCCGTAGCCGCCCATGCTAGCGCCCATGCCAGCGCCGTAGCCACCGCCGTAGCGATTGCCGTACGCGCTACCGCCGTAGGCCGCGTTCATCGAGTTGGCCATCGACGGATCGCTGGCGTCGGTCATGGCTTGGGTCGCCGGCGTCGTGATGGTCGTGCTCCTCGACGGTGCTACGGTCGAGGGGCGCGCAGCCGCCGAGGAAGCGGGGGAGGAGGCCGTCGTCGTCACTGCGGGCGACGGTCGGGCAGTGTTGGTGGCCGACTCCCAAGGCTTCTTCGGGAAGCTCATCTTGTGCTGTTTCGTAAGCAACAGCAAGCCTTTTTGACGCTCCACGAGCTATTTTACCGCCCAAGAATGGGTTAAAGTCCATTGAAGTTGGGTGATTACGCGCCATAGGAATTAACAAGCGGCGATCCCAACCGATAGCACGCGTCTATATGTCTTTCTTGCAGTCCTTTCGACACACGATTGCATAATGGCGTGCTTCGCGGTTAATGTGCAAATCAAGCGAACCCTAGCACTGGACTTGCCACAGCTCTCTCGCGTCCTCTCAAAGAGCATCTTGTGGGCCTCAGCACACCTCTCCGCGACGCCCCATCGAGATGCATGATGGAGGAAAGCTTGGCTTGAGAAGAATGCATCGGCCACTTGAACTCGCAACTTCAATTCTGCAAGCCTGTGCAAGCCCACTCTTCCTGGCGACGTTCGCGCTGGTATCGCACTGTGTTGGCGAAGGTTCCAACTTGTATGTACTAATATGCCAACGCTCGCCCCGTTGCATGCGCTGGTTTCCGCCATCTACGATCTGAGAGAGCTATCTGAGAGAGCAACTTGAGTAGGAGGAAGAGGCATTGAAGTTGGTACGAGGTAAAACGCGCGTCAAACCTTTTAACGTGCCTGTATGAAATGATATGAGCAAAATATGATATTCCAAAGGGTATGATAACGGTACTATTTGGTTGGCCAAAACTAGATCCAAGCAGCAGCATGATCAGCAGCGAGTCGAGCGACTCCGAGGTCGAGCAGGTCGCGCGCCGGGCCGCGGACGTGCATGCCACCAAGGCGCCGAGCGCCAAGCGCGCGCGAGCTTCGTCCGATGCGGATGAGAAGTCGCGCGAAGAGATCCTCGCCGAGCGCCAAGCCCGCCGCAAGCAGAAGCGCGTCGATAAGCAAGCGGCCAAGGCGGTCGAGCGCGAACAGGAAGCCGAGCGGCTCAAGGAAGAGCGCCGGACGTTGGGCCGCCGCTTCACCGTTTCGATCGCGGTGCCCGGCTCGATCGTCGACAACGCGCAGACGAAGGAGCTCAAGACGTACCTCGCCGGCCAGATTGCGCGCGCGGCCGCCATCTTCCAGGTCGACGAGGTCATTGTGTTTGACGACCAGCTCGGAAAGGCAGCGAACGACAAGGATGTGACAAAGAAATACAACAACCCGAACGACTGCCACGTCTTCCTCGGGCGCATCCTCCAGTACCTCGAGACGCCGCAGTACCTCCGGAAGGCGCTCTTCCCGGTGCACTCGGACCTCAAGTACGCCGGCTTGCTCAACCCGCTCGATTGCCCCCATCATATGCGCGGCGACGAGTGGACGGCGTACCGCGAAGGCGTCGTTGTCGACGTGCCCGGCAAGGAAAAGCGTGGGTCCCATGTCAACGTCGGCCTCAAGAAGTTTGCCGTCATCGACAAGCATCTCCAGCCCGGTGTCCGTGTGACCGTCAAGCTCGACGAGACTTCCAAGGACAAGAAGAAGTGTACGTTCTTGTCTCTATCAACAAATTTGGACTCATGACGACCAGTGGCCGGGACGGTCGTGTCGCCTGCCGAGCCGCGCGAACAGCTCGGCGAGTACTGGGGCTACACCA